AAGAGATAGTTCTTGCTGATGATTAAATCATTTCTCAAACCTAAGTTTTGATAAGTTATTTGGCTGGTTCATATATTCTCATAAGCTCAATATTCTTTCTTCAACAGATTTTTATTGAGCAAATCCTAAGGTTTTCTAGGCATGGGGGCAGATCAGAAGGTGAGTAGGATAATTCAGCCAGGTGCCAGAGACAAATGATGTCCTCTGTGAGAAATCAGAGGTTTGTGCCAGTGGCTCTGGGACTCAGGAAAATTCTCACATCTGGTTAAGAAGACCTTACCAAGGAGGTGGTATCTTTACTGGACCAAAATGACCAGACAGGCTGTGGAGCAGGTCATTCAAGATCAAAGGAATAGCACCTTTACAGGTGCAAAGTACAATGCTTGCAGAAAGCCTGGGCCATGCCAGCTCAAATCCTCTATTCCCTTCCTCAAGGAACTTTACTGCCACCTTCTGGAAAACTGTCACAAATTGACAAATCTATAGTGACTAAATGTGTGATTTGTGCCCCCTTAGAAGTAGGGCCCTTGTGTAGTGCACAACCTACACCATATACTGTGAGTCCTTGGCACCAAGAAATGCTGGGTCACTAGAGCCTTGAAAGGGGGTATAAGTAGGGGAAGTGTTGAAGTGGCTGTAATTAATCAAGTCTTTTAAGTTCTCCACAGTTGGCCTTATTTCAGCAGCTTGTTGGCAGCACCCTCACCTCTGTTGATTCTCACTCCTTCCTATGACTGTGACCTGACTTCAATGAAAGAAGACAGTTTTTGAAAATAAAACTATAGCTCTTCTCGCCGGACGCTGCCGACATGGTGTTCAGGTGCTTCGTAGAGGCTGGCCAAATGGCCTACGTCTCCTTTGGGCCTCACGCCAGAAAGCTTGTAGCAATTATAGATGTTATTGATCAAAACAGGGCTTTGATTGATGGACCCTGCACTCAGGTAAGAAGACAGGCCATGCCTTTCAAATGCATGCAACTCACTGACTTTATCCTCAAGTCCCCACACAGTGCCCGCCAGAAGTATGTCCGACGAGCCTGGCAGAAGGCAGATACAAATACAAAATGAGCAGCCACAAGATGGGCCAAGAAAATTGAAGCCAGAGAAAGGAAAGCTAAAATGACAGACTTTGATCATTTTAAAGTTATGAAGGCAAAGAAAATGAGGAACAGAATAATCAAGAATGAAGTTAAGAAGCTTCAAAAAGCAGCTCTTCTGAAAGTTTCTCCCCAAAAAGCACCTGCTAAGAGTGCTGCTAAAGTTCCAGCAAAAAAGATGACCACTGCAGGCAAGAAGGCTGCAGCCCAGAAGGTTCCTGCCCAGAAAGCCACAGGCCAGAAGGCAGCACCTCTTCCAAAAGCTCAGAAGGGTCAAAAGGCTCCAGCCCAGAAAGCACCTGCTCCAAAGGCATCTGGAAAGAAAGCATAAGAGGCTATAATGAAAGTAATAAAGGTTCTTTTTGACATGTTGGAAAAAAAAAAAGTAAACTATAGCAGAACCTCCACAGTTGACCACCTCCCTACATAGACTGCTTCCTTAAGTTGAATTTCCGTAGACAGTACATGTCCTTCATGTACATATCAGTGGGCCTAGTCCCTTATGTTGACTAGTCTTACAGTTCCTCGAGTGGGCAGCTTAGAGATTCTACTGTATTTACTTTTATCCCTCTTGCCCTAGGGAAGGCATGAGCCATAGATACCAAAGCTTAAAAAGGGAGTTCTCTAGGTTGTTTCACTCCCATGAGAAAGGTCATACTGGCCACCAGTGGCAGGAGGGAAGAACAGAGATTCACAGAGCTAAGTGTGTGGTCTGGGGTTGGGGGAGTGACAGATGTGTAGCCCTCCAGCTCTTGGGAACATCAAAAATCACAAGTTTCAGCTCAGCACCCATAGCACAGTGGTTATAGTGTAAGCCACATGCACCGAAGCTGGGGGGTTCAAGCCTGGCCCAGGACCAGCTAAACAATGACAACTGCAACAAAAAAATAGCCAGGTGTTATGGCAGGTGCCTGTAGTCCCAGCTACTTGGGAGGCTGAGACAAGAGAATTGCTTGAGACCAGGAGTTTGGAGTTGCTGTGAGCTGTGATACCACCACACTCTACCGAGGGCAACATAATAAGACTGTCTCCAAAAAAAAAAAATCAGGTGATTTCAGAGGTAACATTGAAGTTATACAAATCGAAGAATTATGTTATCATAGAGACCCCAAACCAATTTTTTCTAGTTAGTGTATCACTGCTTTTGCTCCTTAATTAAAATGGAAAAAGAGATTTGGCCTTGATGATAGCACCTCCCCTGAGTGTACTAAACTGCACACTGTGTCCCCTCTGAAGGACACAGACACACTACAGGCTCTGGATCTGGACTTGCCACATTCATTTCCTTCACTTCCTGCCAGCCCCCTTTTCTCTTCATGATGTCAGTGAGGCCCCCCATCCCCTCATTCCCCTCATTCCCCTCCTGTCCTAGCCTCCAGCAATCTTCACTCAAATCCAAATTCTCTGGCCCTGGTCATCCCTGAGAGTGGACTCTGGGAAGCCACCTCCAGTCCTCTACCCCTGTCCTCCCAGCTTCATGCTCACTATGCCTTCTCCAGGGCTCACCCCCTCTCTCTAGACCTTCCCATGGAGACCTTGTCCATGACACTTCATCCAGACCACTTGATCTCTGCACTCAGGTACTGGCCCTTCCATTCCAGATAAATTTCCTCCGTTTTAGCCAAAAGGAGAAAAAAATGAAGCCACTGGGCAAATATTCCTTACCTCTGGCCCTCTGCCTTCACCTTTCTCTACATCTATATCCATCTTGCAGCCAGAAGGCCTGAGGGGCCATTACATCCCAGCCCTGGAGTCCATACTGGCTGAGACTGGGACCTTGCACCATCAATTAACTAGCCCCCCTCTCATTTCCTGGGCTATAGGGCAATGGCATCAGTCTGCTTACAGAAACCTCAAACTCCTGGGCTCAAATGATCCTCCTGCCTCAGCCTCACAAGTAGCTGGGACTACAGGTACCCACAATGTGTGGCTAAATTTAGTAAAGATAAGGTCTCACTCTTGCTCAGGCTGATCTCTAACTCCTGACCTCTAGTGATCCTCCTGCCTCAGCCTCCCAGAGTGCTAGGATTACAACCATCAGCCACTGTGCCCAGCCTCATATAATTCTTTCCCATCTTCAGAATGACCTCCCTTGGCCCTGGGTCCCCACTAGCTACCAGTCTTTCTCTTTTCTCCTCCTTTATTCTTCTTTAAGGTATCATTGTCTACATGAAGTGATAATGACATCTGCTACAGGTCTTTTAAGTGGTCTAACTGGGAAGCAGGGGACCAGAAACCTCTGCTAAATTTAGACCCATAGCACTACATTCCCTCTAACTTCTTTCAAGGGAAAGAACAAAGGTCTGATCAGAACTCAGCTGCTCAAGGACCAAACTCAGCCCAAGAGCAGGAGGAGGGCAAAAGTTAGAGGGAGATGGAGGTGAGGTTGCCCAACCTGCACACAGGCTGACAGTGCTGCTCTCACAAGCAGAGCACACACCATTAGGGATGTGTATGTGTATACACAAACACACACACACACTCTCTCACACTTGGAGTGCAATCTCGG